CCCTAAGCAAGTCAGAGTATAGAGAAAAGGTCTGTAGCTCAAATACGGTCAGTAAAATGAAATCTGGTAATTAGCGATGACTAACCTAAGCTTGGGCTAAAATTGGGAAGCAAGGTTTGCCTGTGATGCTAACAATAGCTTTTTCTTAGTCTAATAAAAATAGATTCCAATAAACAGTAGCCACTAATGACTGAAAGTGAAAGCTTGATCTGTACTTTATCAGATCATAAGAAGAAAAGCCTCTCTCCTCTCTCACAATTATCCATTTTCTTTGCCACTTTGAGAGTACTTCTCCTAGTTTCCTTGATGACACCATTGCTACAGGAATATATTACTCCTTTTTTAGAGGGATTGTGGGTAAGATAACCTTATAGCTGCCGAATCCCTTGATCTCATTACCCTGCATTACAAGCTGTCTTTTGAAGTAGTGACTTCCTTGTCACTGAAAGTATTCAAGCAAAGACTAGATAAGACCACACATAGAGTGAATTCCTACATGAGATGAGAGGCTAGACTGGTTTCATTTCAAATTTAAGGTTCTTCGACCCTTTGAAACATTATAAAATAAAAACACTATTTCCCATATTTTTAAAACTTTTAAGCTCTACTAGTATCAAAGCTAACTGTATATTAAATAAAATTAATTTATAAAATAATTATTATAACTTTACTTTTAAATTACCTTATTATAAGCAAACCCAGTTTTGCATACATCTTTATGTTCTAAAACTAACAATGCAAGTCTATACAAAATTTCCCCAAAGTATAACTGTTTTTCCTCTTCTTCCAGATTTTATTTTCTTGAGGAATTGAAAGGTCACCCAGGGTTCCCAACTTTCCGGAAGTGTTAGATACATAGATAGATAGATAGATAGATAGATAGATAGATAGATAGATGGATAGATAGTAGATAACATAGATAGATATCTATATATACAGAGATTGATCTACCTCTGTCTTTCTCATATGCTGGTAAAAATGCCATTTGGCAATTAAAGTAATAAAATAATCATGAGTACAAAAGTTTTACTGTAAGGATAGTAGTCACTATAAGATTATTTAAACTAGTTAAAAATTTGAAACAACTATATTTTTTTGTTATTGTTTTGTTTTGTTTTTTTTAGCTGAGCCATCCTGCCACCTTTTGGCAGCTCAGCGGCAGGCAGCTCAGCTCGGGCTGGACTCGAACTGCTGTTGCTCAGAGCTCAAACCTTTGAGCGAGCTCTTAACCAACTGAGCCACTCGGCCGGCCCTGAAACAACTATATTTATTGTTAGAAATAAGAATAGTGTAAGGCCTACATTCTTTTTTTTTAATTAAAATGTATTGGGGTGACAATGGTTAGCAAAATTAAATAGGTTTTAAGTGTACAATTCTGTAATATATTATCTATACGAATATATCACATTGTGTGATCACCACCCAGAGTCTGTTCTCCTTCCATCACCATATATTTGACCCCATTTACCTTCATCTGCCACCCCCCCTCCCCTTTACCCTGTGGTAACCACTAAACTATTGTCTGTATCTAAAGGCCTACATTCTTGAGCTTTGGAGTCAGATAAACCTGGGTTTGAATCCCAGGACTTCCTCTTACTATCTTTGTGGCTTAGGACAAGTTATTTAATCCCTCTGAGCCTCAGTTTCCTCTTTTGTAAAATAGGGGAGATCAGATTTTTTAAGGGGTTTGGGTGACGGGCAAGTATCAGAGAGAAGTGGACCTCAGAGGCCAACATTTTCTCACTGTCCATCCTACTGGAAAGTGGCAGTAACAGGTCCCTTAGGTGGTATGACATGGATATATTGTGATGCTTCCAGTTCTCCAGTCAGCAAAAACTGATGAATGGGACTAATATTTGCTGGCTTCAAACATGTATTAATTCTTTTCATGTCTTTTCTCAGGGGTAAAGATTTACCAGGATCTCTCCCATGCCAGTTATGGCACAAAGAAAGGAAGTTGAGTGCTTCTCAAATGCAAGGTAATGAGAATCATCCCCAAAATGAAAGCAGAAACAAAAGACCCTTAATACATCTGATTTTTTTTTTTCTGTAAGAGAGATCGGGGATTTTAAGCGTTGTCTACAAGCATTCTGTTATTTGAAAGCAAAAAAAATTTTTTTTAATTCAGTGTCTAATGTGTAGGAAGGAAGGGGGTTTACTTTCAAATAGACTTCTTTCTAGAATTTAGACAGTCCTCACCAAATATTTTTATTCAAAGAAGAACCTGTGGTAGACAAAGAAAAAATAAAGGAAAAAAATAAAACAAAAAAAGAAAAACAAACAAAGGAAGAACCTGTGGGTGTGGAAAGAACAAATACAAGGTCAAATAGAAATCAAGTAATGGAGCAGCATAAACACAACTAAAGTCCCAGGATTTCTCACAGAAAAATAAGTTATAATGATAAAATGAGCTACCCTGGGCACAGTTCATTAACCCAAACAATACATATTTATTTAAAGCCAACAGTGTACTAGGCATGGAATAGACAAGACAGACATGGTCTCTGCCCTGATCAGAAGTCTTATACAGAAGATATAGTTAAACCATGAATTTGTTGATGGTAATAGTTAAATTACAATATGATACAAGTTAAGATAGGGGAAATAAAGAGTGTTACAGGAGCATAAAATTGAAAGTCTCCTAACTTCAACTTGTGAGGATAGGAGGGGAATCCCAGAAAAGGCTGAATGATGAGGGGTAAATCAGTCAAAGATCTCAGAGGGGAGTGTGCTGGGCAGAAAGCGTGGACTCTGCAAAGGCCTGGAAAGCATGACACACTAGAAAAACTAAAAAGGAGTCAAACATGGCTGTGTTTGGGGTCTAGCCTAATGCTTCACCCCTCCAACTTCGGAACCAAATGAGACATTGACCCAGGAGACAGACAGGAATCAAAGAATCGCCTTTATTGCTGAGAAAGCTGGTTTGGAAAACATAAAAGACTGTCAAGATCAGAATTGCATTTTTTATTGTAAAACTGAGCTAACTGCCTTAATAATAACTGTTTATGGCTTTATAAAACTTTGAGGTTTTCAACGTGCATTAATATACATTGGTGCTTGTTTCAAGGGTACCCGGGATTTGTTTTAGTTAGGTATTGTAAGACATACAGACACAGAAATGATTGTCATGGAGGGAAACTTGGTTTATATTCACAGATCCCTATAAGTAAGGGGCACAACTAACCATGAAGAGCCACACAGGGAAGCACCAGAGTTGGTCAGGAGGCAAAGGGTAGGGGGAGGTGGGCAAGAGCCTTTACTGTGGTTTCTGCAGGAAGGAAAAATGAGGCAGGATAAGCAGGCTAAGAAATGGCTAGTTTGAACAATTTCAGTAGCTCTGGGGTGTAGGGCTGTCTCTAGTTGTCTAGTACCTGGCCCTGCGGTGATTAGGACAGAGGAATTGTGACCCAGAGTGTAGGAGCCTGAGAAGGTAGGTGGTTGGGAGTATGGGCTCTGGATGGGTTGGTTGGCCCGTGAAAAGCATGCTCACAGGCAAGTCCTTTACTATCTCTAGGAAATGGCTAGCTAGCTCTGGGAGGGACAGTCCCTCCAAGATCAACAAAGCCTCAGATGTCAAAGCGTCAAATACAGAAACCAGGAAATGTGGTTATTACAATGCTTAACCCTCACCACTTTCCCATGAGAGGTTAATTTGTACATTCTACAAATATTTATGAAACACCTCCAAATCCCCAACAACTGCTCCATCCTCACTCTCAATTGATATCCTTGCTTCCTACTTCTCTATAATGAGAGAATCCTGATTCTGCAATCAGAATTGAATTACCACAGGTTCCCACCTCCATGTATACCTCCTACCAGCATCTGTACCCACAAACTCTGCCTGCCTCTCTGTTCCACAAATGAACTTTGTACTCTTATCTAAAGCCAATCCTTCCAGTGTGGATTAGAACCCATCCCTTCTCTCATTTTCAAAGAAATAACCCAAGAAAGTGTCCTGCCTATCTCCAACACCAATCTTTTCCCCTCTCTATCATATTTCTATCATCATACAAACTTACTGTTATTTCCCTTTAAAAAAAATGTATTGTGACCTCATTTCTTGAATGAGACCAGGTTGCTCAACCGAACGCCCTGGCTCGTCAGCCAGGAGCTCACCAAATGGGTCCCTGAGAGGATTGGGTGGGAGACGAGAAATAAAAGAGAAGAGAGACAAAGTGCAGGGGACAGGAGGGACTCGACTCAGTCTGCTGATGGCAAACTGAAAACTCGTTTATTGGACATACAAGATTCTTAAGGGGAAACAAGTTCCTCATTATAGAGAACGATTCCCTAAAGCTAAAACTTATAGGCTGAGGAGAAACAATTTCTCCTCAGCAACAAGCTATGTTATACACAATATAAACCAATGATATAGCTAGGCAAGGTTAAACTGAGGCAAATAGAAACTGTCTACAAGTCCACAGTAGAAAGTCCCAAGCATGTGAAGCAGGTCCATGGTGGAAAGTCCCAGAGTGGTGATGCATATTGAAACTGCAAGTCCATAGTCCATGAGCAACTGAGTCCCTTAGTCCATAAGCTTTTCCTATCAGCAAGCTGGGATCTTTACTCTTCGCACTTGCATTATCTAGAAGCAGTTTAAGGCAGAAGCACTGTCCCATAGGTCCCCACCAAATCACTCCCGTTCCAAGGCTGCTCACCCCAAGCCTGTATCTACCTGGAGACCCAAGCTTGCCTACCTAAAGCCTCAGTGTCTCTGGCTGATCCCAGCCAGCTCCCAACAATTTCCCTCTTCAGCTACCACACAATTTCTTTGCTCCCCTTTGCAGGAAAATTCATCAAAAGAAATGTCACTCCTTCTCCGTCTCTTTGGCTAGTTCCTCCCCTTCTAATTTATCTTAATGCGACAGTACTTCCGAGCTCAGTCCTCAATCCTCTTCTCTTCTTTATACCATGCACACATGTGGTGATATCATCTAGTCTTAGGTTTTACTTTTTATTTATTTATAGTTTTATTCTGTTTTTTTAAAGGCATCGGTCTCGACATGGCCTCTTCTTTATATCCTTAGTTCTAGCCTTAGGCTTTAAATACCACCCAGAAGCCAACAATTCCCAAATGTGTATGTCCAGCCCAGACTCATACCTAACTGCCTACTCAACATCGTCAATTGTATGTCTAGTGGACACCTCAAACTCAACATGTCAAACACCGAACTCCTGATGTATTCCTCCTACTCTTTTTTGATTGTGGTAAAATATGCGTAAAATAAAAATTACAATTGTAACCATTTTTAAGTGTACATACTAGTCAGTGGCATTATATATACTCACATAGCTCTGTAACCATCACCACCATCCACCTCCACATCTTTTTCATCTTCCCAAACTGAACCTCCATATCCCTTGAAGAGAGCTCCCCATGCCTTCCTCCCCGCAGCCTTTTACTCCTAAAACTTGCTCTGCCCATCTCTGATGATGACATTTCATCCTTCTACTTGCTCTAGAAAAAAACGTTGGTGTTACCACTGACTCTTCTCTCTTACTCTACCTCTGAATCCATCAGAAAATCTCATTGGCTCCACCTTTAAAGTATATATCTAGAAGTCAATCACTTCTTACCACCTCTGCTGCTCCAACCCTGGTCTGAGGCACTATTACTGCTCACCCACAATAGCCCTACCGGATACTAGTGTCCCTACTTCTACCCAACTCCCAAAAAAAGTCTGTTTTTCCAGCAAGAGGCACAATGATGTTGAAACACAAGTCAGGTGGGGGAAGGGGGAGGCGCTGAGTAACTTGAGGTGTTTGACTGGAATCTGTAAGACTGAACACAAAAGGAATCGTACATCAACAACGTACTCTAGTTCGTAAAGTTGTTTCTCATAGGGGTATAGATTAACAACTCTGAAGCTGATGTACATGTATACTAGGATTAAGTAAATAAGGAAATGGATGCTGGATGGCGGGAGCCAGGTTTCTCATTGTTGGAGTGGTACATTACAGATAAACAAGGGGAGGGGGCTAGCGTAAACCAATGGTACTGGATTAGGGTCTGAGACATCAGTGTGAACTCATGTTTAGCTTAATATGGATACAGATGGCTCGATCAAAAAGTCATTAGAGATGTGTGTGCCTATGTGGGTGAGTATGCATGCATCTATTCCCTAGCCCTGTCTGCTAAGAGGACTTAGAAGCAAGCATTAACACCCCCACAGCAACAAACATAGCCAGCACCCAGATCTTGACTTCTCCTGTCAGCTTTCTATACAAGAACCAGAGTTCCATGAATAAATGGCTGATTCTAGGGCTTGGGCAGGAAATATACAAGATGAACCTGGGACATCTTCGAGTGCCAGAAAGTAAGGAAGTGCTCAAAAATCTAAAGGACAGAGCCTATCAACGGGGTAAAGAAGCCAACCTGAAAAAGCATACCACTGCCAAAGCTGTGACAATTTGAGCAAGAAAAATAAATAAAGCAGTATTAGATTGTAACTCAAGGTATAAAATAAATATCTCTAAGTCCATAGTGATAGAAATAAATGAATAATTGAATATAAAAAATGAAAAAGAGACAAATTTGTCTTACAAAAGACTTCCAAATAGTGTGTGAAGATATTACCTCCTCCAGGAGGTGGAGCTTAATTCCCCCTGTCCCCAAGCCCTCTGTCCCTTGAGTCTGGACTACCACCCTTAATGACTGGCTTCCAGGTAAAATATGGAGGTAGAAAAAGTAGTAAACATAAAAAATAAAATAAAATAAAATATGGAGGTAGAATATGGAAAAGGAGAGAAGTAACTTTACAGTAGACAAACACTACTTCAGCCATGTAATCATGGTTAACATCATCAGTGATAAGTCATGTTGATAGCATGTAACAATGATATAATGATGAGAACGGTGCTTCACTTCTGTCATCTTCCTCCCCAAAATCCATAATCTCAGGCTAATCATGAGAAAAATATCAGAAAAACCCAAATGGAGGGACTTGTACAAAATACAGTAATGCCTCGGTTTGCGAGCATAATTCATTCTGAAACAAACTACTCATATTGCAAGACATTGCTCGTTTACCACGTTAAAATGTATTATAATAGAAATGTTTGCTCGTCTTGCAGAACACTCGCAAACCACCTCGCTCACAATCTAAGGTTTAACTGTACTTGAACAATAGTCCTCAAAACTGCCAAAATCATCAAAAACAACAAACATCTGATGAATTTACAGAAAAGCTAAAAAGACATGACAACTAAATGTAATATGGTATCCTGGATGCGATCCTGGAGCTGAAAAGGGGCATTAGGGGAAACCAGTGAAATCTGAATAATGCCTGTAGTTTAGTTAATAGTACCACACTGATGCTGGCTTCTTAGATGTAACAGATGGACCCTAGGAATGTAAGATGTTAACATTAGGGAAAACTGGGCGAGAGACCCACAAGAACTCTCTGCGTATCTTTGCAACTATTATCTAAAACCAATCTGATATAAAATTTAAGATAAATTTTAAAACATAACCACGCCTACACTCCCATTAGTTCTCTGACCCCTCCTACTCCTCTCATTCTGCTCCAGACACGCTCACAGCCTTGCTGTTCCTGGAACATGCCAGGCCCATTCCCCTTAGGGCTTTTGCTCTAGTTCTTCCTTCTCTTCTCCCAGATATCCACTCCCTCACCTCCTTCAAGTCTTTGCTTTAATCTTACCTATTTATTACAAACAAGTTATCCCTCAATCCCTGAAACTCCCAATCCCCAGACTCTGCATTACTCTTTCATTTTCCCATTGCATTTACTACCTTCTAACACGTTATCTAGTTTACCTATTTATTACATTCATATAAGGGCAGAAATCTTTGGGGGGTTTTTTAGTGCACTAATGTATCCTAGGCACCTACAACAGCACCTGACACATAGAAGACATGCAATAAATATTTGTTGATTAGGTTGTGTTAAGGTATAAATGCCTACTAACATGCTAGAAATACCAGGGGTCGGGGAGGGGCTGGGGGGAATACAAACAAGTCAGAGATGGTTCCAGCCCTAGAAATGCCCATTTTTTTATCAAGGGAGAAAGATGTTAACTTCTGACACAATTATAAGGCAGGTGTCATTATCTCTATAGGATTCATCACTTGTACATAGAGATGCTAACACTTGAATGTGATATGAAATGAGCTTTATTCTGGTGCCATTGAGGGCATACTTTGTTCTGGGTTTATTTCTTCATTTGCTAATTTTAGAAAATACATGTCTAATTTTGGCTCCAGTTAATACCTTGAGAATTTCTTTGAAAAAAACTCTGAGTCTGTACAAAACACAAACCTCAGAGTTCTGTAGGTCTAAAGTAAGATCTTCTCCAGCCTAGCCTCTCAACTGGAGGCTCTGCAAGAGAACCAGCGTCCAAGCTCATTCAGGTTTAGGGTGGAATTCAGTTCCTTGTGGTTGTAGGGCTGAGGTCCCCATTTCCTTGTTGGTTGTCAGCCAGGAGCTGCTCTCAACCCCTTAAAGGCTGTCTGCATTCCACGTCACGTTGCCCTCTCCATCTTCAAACCAGCAACAGTGGGTCAAGTTCTTCTCATGCTTGGAATCTCTCTCACTTCTCCTGCCCTATCTCTGTAGATGCATAAGGGACCCTATGATTAGATTGGGCCCACTCAGATAATCCAAGATAATCTCTTTTAATTACATCTGCAAAATCCCCTTTTTCATGTAAAATAATATGTTAACAGGTTCCAGTAATTAGGGTGTGGACATCTTTCAAAGGTCATTTCTCCTACATATTTGATTTTCCACTACTTAATTTATTCCAGTTCAAATCTCATGGAAGGACCCTGTCCTTCTTAAGAAATGTCTATTAAGTACTCACATTTCTGTCAATACTTTTCAGAACATGATCTCCAATCAACTGTCTTGTCTGTCCTAGTTCCATGAGAATATGTATTTATTCTTGAATAACTGTCCTAACTTGATTCCATTTCCCCAGCTTTCCACGATGCCTACAACTTCTTTAACAAGGATAAAACTGGCTCTATTGATTTACATGGAATGATGTGCACATTAGCTAAGTTGGGAATGAATCTTACCAAGCACGATGTCTATAATGAATTAAAATGTGCTGATGTTGATCGTGAGTACTTTGACTTACCATTTTTATCATAAAATCTTTTTATGAATATATACATTTTTCTCCCAGAGACTGTATAAACATGAGAAATAAACTTCACTTATTTGCTAATAGTTTCAGTGAGGTATGTGTACAAGTTATGAAATCAACTTAATGCTGCAAAATAGACTCTGAAAAATCTTGTGTGTAAACTAAAAGTGACTGTCACATTTCAATATCAAATTCAGATTACCTGTCATGATGTACATTTTGGAGAGTGCCTTGAAATAACAGATATAAAGGCACTAAAATTTCAAAATGACATGTTACCAACAAAATCCAAACCATTTGTTTCTGTGTGAATCATATATGAGTACAAATCTTCCTTCCATCATTAGAGCCCACCTGTATTGAATTTTAAATGCCACAACATTTTTGTTGATATTTATAAAGCATATAGATAATGTTATCTTTGAGTATACTGACATAGCAATTAGTAGCCCAAGCTGATATGTTGTGTGAAATATATATATATTCAGTATATTATCTCCTCTCACCTCTCCTCACTGAATTGCCAGTGCTCCATTCAATCAGCATCAGGACCACATGTGAGTCAATATCACCAGTTAATTAAAGAGTGTCACTTGTCTCCACTAACGCTGCCCAATTTTTCTATTCTTTCATTGAAACACGCACACATGGCTCTAATAGCACTCATTATCCTTTAATTTTAGAGGAAACAGGGTACAACGTGGCTATGTTATAATAATGGAATTATTAGAGGTATGGAGTGGGAAGGCATGAGGGGATTCTTTGCAAAAATGGCTAGTCTCCATGACTGCAGTGGCTGGGACTCTGGTTTGATGTTTACACCCCATCATTGCTTCTGTGGGCTGTGGGTGTCTGGTGTAATGGTGCTAAGACCACTTCAAGGAGATCAGGGCTTACCCGAGCACATCTCCAGCCCTAAAATGCTCTGATTTTAAGTATTGAATGACCCATGGTGTTTTAATTTTTATGTTTAATATATCATTTGTTAATTAAAATACATCTTATATCCTTATTCTGAGTCTTAGATTTCTGTTGCAGGAGATGGAAAGGTGAATTTCTCTGATTTTATAACGGTGCTGACAGATAAGAACCTCTTTCTTAAGGCTGTGGGTGAGTAGAGACATTCATTACCCAGTAGAGGGCAATTGGGTAGTTGCAATTCACTGCACAATAAATATTATTCATTTAGGCCTCCAATCAGGAGACAAATCAGGAATGTGTACTCTGGAATGTGATTCACTTCCGTACTGCATCTCCAAAACAATATTTACTAAGCAACTTGACACCGCTTTGAAATTTTAACATATATGCATCAAGTCCTTCTGTGGGAGACACTACTTTTTTTTTTTAATATTTTATTGGGGAATTGGGGGAGGGGAACAGTGCTGGGGAATCGGGGGAAGGGGAACAGACAAGTTGCTGTCCTTTTGTTCTTCAGTCTAGTTGTGGAGGACGTTGCTTCACTGGCCCATGTTGGGCTCTTGGCAGCTCACACCGGCTGCTGGCTGCTCATGGTAGCTTATGGCAGCCCACTGCAACAGGGCCTCCAGCCTACGCCGTCACCTACAACTCTTGGCAGCCCAGCTCCAGGTTGAGCTGTTGTTCACCATCTTAGCTGTGGAGGGCAGTGTCACTGGCCCTCATATGGGATCCGAGCCAGGGCCCTGCTGCTCAGAGCTGGCGTCCCAAGCCAGCTCTTAACCAACTCACCACTCAGCCAGTCCCTGGGAGACACTACTTTTTGGGCTCTAATGAGAACACTCAGGCAGTGGTGTAGAAAAATTTGGTTTTTAATTTTAATTCCTCACCGAGTGCATGTGCTACTTTGGGAAGCACCCCTTTTACAGAAGAATAAATATGTTTTTAGAAAAAGAAAAATGCTTTCTCTCATGCAAATTTGGGTGTACATAATTTACTGTTCTTGGAAAATATCTTCCTCACCCTGATGAAGCCTCTGCCCTCAGTGCAAGGGCTGGAGAGTCTGCTGGAGGTTAGAGAGCCTGTTCTTACATAAGGTTATATATGTGGAGAGGTAAACTTATTAGTCCTCTAATGGTTTGTTTATGAGTTTAACAGATGCCTTGAAAAATCTAATCCTATTCATATCATGTTTTCTAGGATAAATACATTCCAAATAACAGATTCTGCATGTAGTGTTGAAAATCCACCCATTCATAGGCTATGAACTATCCTTAGGATAAACAGAAGTTACTGCTTCTAGCGCCACTGTAGTAACAAGGGTTTGCGTGCAAACCAACAACTGCTTTACCTAGAAGAACAGGGCAATAATACTCAACGTATAATTCATGTTTATGTTAAATGTATTACTGTATTTACTTAGAAGTCATTTAACTAAAAGTATTTTTTATAATTCCATGATTATTTTGTCTGCTCAGTAACAAAAAATGACCTTTCTACAATAGAATAGATTTTGAATGTTTGTCTATAATTCTCTAGTCCTCAACTTGGTATTAATAGTGTAAATGCAATAAAAAAGACTGTCAGTTTAGTACTTTTTTTTTGATAGGTGGTTTCTTCAAAAGGCATTTTGAATCTTTTCTTCCCTTTATAGTTCCAGAAAAGAAGATCTGTTTAGATTTAGCTGACAACCCAGGGATTCTATTGTTTGAAATCCTATCAAAGCTTGTAGAGACTTCAGCCTTACCCAAAAAGGCAATAATGGAAATCGTAAGGTAAGTGACACAGAAAGGGGCAAAAACGACCTTCTCAGAAGCACTGGTGAGGATACTAACAAGGCAAGGAACCTCTCACTAATATCTTACTTCACGGGGTCTGCTCCAAAGCAAAGGAGCATGTCTGTGGGCCAGTGCTCACGCGCCCCAACATGACTTTATTCCTTCCTCTCCACAGTACTGCCCAGCTCTGGAATTACAAGGCTGACTTCAGGCCATCTCAGGGCCCCACTGAGGGCCTAAGACAGCTAAGAAAGTTCAGCCTCTCCTACCCTAGGCTAGAGAATCCCAGAGGAATAAGGCTTTTCCAAGGCTGACTTTGGGTGGGCTTGGATATCTAGTTTGAATACAAGACACTCCCAGTCATGCTGGAACTACCAGGGGCTCTCAAGAGGTCCTCTGACTCTGGGATGAGGTACAGCAAGTTCAGACCTCCCAAAGTAGCCTTTAGACTAGAGCAGAGCCAGAAGTAAAATGAAAATAAAGGGTGAGGGGCTGGCTGAGTGGCTCAGTTGGTTAAGAGCTCGCTCAAGAGTTTGAGCTCTGAGCAACAGCGGTTCGAGTCCAGCCCGAGCTGAGCCTGCCCTCACCCCAATTCCCCAATAAAAAAAAAAAAAAAAAAAAAAAAAAAAAGAAAATAAAGGGTGAGGACACATGCTCACACTCAAATGGGTTTATTCCAGCGAATATCACTGAAGAGAAATGTCTTCAACCCATTTTTGTCATTGTAATACAGAAATTAAGTGTTGCCATTCTCCATCTTTTCAACTCATACTTTCAAAGCACTCTGCTGTCCCACTTAGAGAGACTTAAAAATACAGAAAACCATCAATGATGTAAAAATGTCCTCTGCTTCTCAATGGGAAATCCCTTTATATTATCCTACACCTGTATCAGATGTGGAACAGAGGGAGCACAGCATTCTACTCTTCATCCATCTCAAATGTGTTTATTATATGCCTGCTATCGGTACACAAATTTGGCACATTGCTTAACCTCTCAGCCTCAGTTTCCTCATCTATAAACTGGTGATAATAATACCACCATATAGGGCAATTGTGGGGATGGCATGTGATGATGTAGGTAAAATGCTTAGCACATCATAAGAGCTCAATAAATGTTAGCTATTGTTATTATGTAGGAGTAATTACGATAAGCATTAAATATATATATATAATCTATTTTAATCCTCACCTCCTTTAATCCTCACTATTATCCCCACTTTACAGATGAAAAAAACTGAAGCACAGGTTAGTTAAGTAACACTCCCAAGTGGAAGTGGTGCCTAGATTTAAGCAGTCTGATTCCAGCACCCATGCTCTTACCCACCTCCCTCTACTGCCCCTCACACCCAGTAAGTGCTCAGGAAATGTTAGCTGATGTTGGTGGTTTTATTGTTGTTATGGTTGTGATTGTTACTTATCATATACCTAGTTCCTAAGGGGATCAAAAGTGTTTAATACATAGTATTTAAGGAGCTTAAAATAAATGGAGAGAAAAGCCATAAATATGCAGTTAACTAAATCAATATGTAGAAGTGAAATAATGCAAAATATATTAACACAATGAACTGTCAAATGAGTTGCATAGATCATTCATTAGTTTCCTGAGAAAGTGGGTCCTGCACCTTGTTCTCTGGGACAGCAAGAAAAGACCCTCCTTTGCTCAGCACACTGAGAAGTGAAGTCCTCCACGTTGGCCCTGAAGCCCCTGCTATAGCAAAGCACTAAGAAGCAAGTTCTTCCACCACAGCACAGCTGCAAAGAGAAGCCCGCTGTCCCAGCAGCAGGGAGGAACCTGATTTACCATTGATATTTAAGGCGTGCATGTTTGTAAATCAGATGTTTATTCCTTTAGGGATGTTTGTACTGTGAATTAGAGTCCCTTACTATATATAGCCTGCTGTGCTTATTCTTGAAGAATTTATATCTAAAAGGCATAGTAACATATCTCCTAGACCTGTTTATATACATGTGCACCTGCACGTGCGCGTGCACACACACACACACATTGCAAAGAATAGCAATCAATCATAGTGATTTACTGTGAATAGTAAGATTATTGGTAATATTATCTTTATAATTTTCTGTATTTTTCAAATTCTTTGCAATGAGAATTTCTTTAAATTTGAAACAAGTTGCATTTTAAAACCTAACACAACATAGTATAATAATAGGCATGATTAATATTTGTATTCAAGCTGGTACCACTTAAGGGTTTGTCAAGGATCATAGGTATTTTTCTAGACAAGGCTGGAAGGTCTTGGGGACCAGGAAGGAAGCCAAAGCCCAGGGACTAGATATATTTTAATAGTCAAATGGCCTCTGGCAACTATCATAGATGTTCTGTAAATGTCATAGAAACAGGCACTCAATAAATAATAGTGAATGGATATGCAAATTAAATTTAAAATAAGTTTATTCATCATGTATAACTTGCAAGTTATCTTCTTTTTTTTCTATTTGTCTAACATGCATTTTTTTTCAGTAGAACTATGGCACTTTTTATCCATTTCTGGATTACTTTTTCTTTTTCTTTTTCTTTTTTTTAGCTATTTCCGAAGAAAATTCCAGGAAAGCACCTCAGGAATATTGAGGAGTCCTTATGCTCTGGGTTATGGAAAAAGGAGATTTAGCAGGCCAGACATATGCACACCCCTGAGCTCAAGCATGGATGCCTTTGCTAATGCTGCCCGGATTGCGATGACAAGAGAAAAGGATTTATTTAAATTTCTTGAAGAACTCAAGAGTAAGAGCCATTTGTCCTTTCCCCACTGATGTAAAGAATTTATTTGTATATTACTGGTCAGAAATAAGTGGTAGAGGCCACGTGCTGTAAGAGCAGGGCCTATTTTGGGTGATGGGTCTCTGTCACCCAGATCTCATTTGAAAGCAAATGTACCGTATTTCCCCATGTATAAGACACACCCTTTTTCGAAAAATTTGGGGTCTAAAAACTGGGTGCGTCTTATACAGTGGTTGTAGATTTTTTTACTTGCGTTTCTCGCTTTTTTGCGCTTGTTGTCTTTGCGCTCATTGTTTCGCACTGTTACCGGTATATTAGGTTACGTTTTACCACGTTCTGCCCAGAAAGGGCTCAGAAAAGATTTTCGTACAGTGCTGAATTCAAGTTAAAAATGATCCAGTTTGCAAAGTGAATGGAAATCGTGCTGCTGAACGTAAGTTTGGTCCTCCTCCAACTGAGAAAACAATCCAAGACTGGCTATGGTTGGGAGTTTTGACAGTGATGAGGAGTTGTATGGATTTTATGATGAATAAAACTTGAGTTCAATAACTTTATGTAATACTTTTTTTTTTTCAAATTTCGAGCCCCAAATTTAAGGTGCATCTTATATATGGGAGCGTCTTATACATGGGGAAATACGGTATATATTACCTGAATCAGACACCTAGATGAAGCTGAGAGTCTGTGGAGGGTGTGAAAAATGGGGATCAAGGCACTGAGGAGAAGAATAGACAAAGATTAGGCACCACATGTATATCTTTATGTGAATTTCTTCTTATAGTATTTGTGAAACCATTTCTTTTTAAATCTTTTTAGGATGCAATCCTCCTTCAGAAAACCCATATTCAAAAATACCCATCTTTCCATTGTTTCCTAATGTGGATGGGGTGGTGACGGGAAAGCCGTTCAAAGACATGCAGAAATTAGAAATGCTAAGGAGAAAGGAGCCGCTGAATTTCTTTGAGAACTATTTTTTCCAAAAAAGAAATTGGAAAACACAGGTGAGATTTAGATGATGTCACATCAGTTCATTTAAATACTTAGGTTTTTCAGTTCTAACTTAGAACTAGTAACATGCTTTTTAATTACAAATATTTTTAGTCATTATATTTCAAACCAGATCCATAGACATATTCCTAAATTTAAGCCCAGTTATAAATATTTCATTTAATGTCAACAAATAGTTCATCTTGCTGAAAAATACAATCCTAGGCTTGGGGTTGGAGGGGTGGGGCATATAGAATAATAATAAAAAGGCTCTCAGGTCCTACCTCCGACTGCTCTCCCATCGACTCAGGAACCAGAAGTTGCATGTTTGTCTCCCTCAACTGGCTCTAGATCATGGTTGGGCCAGGCATCATGCAATGACAGGACCAGGTCCACAACCCAGTGGAGTAATTTGTGATGGAGGGGCCATCCTGCCTGTGGACTAGAACCCCATTTATAGTCCCAGCTGCACCTTCTGGCCCTACTTCAAGCCCTGTTGCCGCTCATCTATTTTCCCCCTCCTAAGGCACACTTTATCATCATCAGTTTTAAGGTCTCAGGCATGTAAGCCCTCGTTTCTGGATATTCTCTCAGGGAGCGCAGGAAGCCTCACCCCAGGTTTGTCACAGGCCTCCGAGCCTGAGAAACAAGATCAAGATTTGACTGGAGATTAGCCCACCCCTTGAGGAATCTCTGGGTTCCAGGGATCCATGTGTTATTCACATCCCTATGAAACCCCTAGAGGCCACTCCAGGTGTAGGGTTTAAGAGTCCAGATACTGGAGGTGGGAGAAAAAAATGGAGAGTTATTAATCAACGGGCATAAAGTCTCAGTTTTGCAAGATGAAAACGTTCTAGAGATCTGACGGGACAACATTGTGCATATAGTTAACAATGCTATATTGTGCACCCAAAAAAAATGTGTTAAGGGGGTAGATCTCATCTTTAGAGTTCTTACCAGAATAAAATAAATTAGAAAAAAAAAGTCCCAGAAAAGTATCATGATCACAAATGACTACCAGTTATGACTGCCTTTCGCTCTCCTGATAGACATACCCACTGACAAGATGGAAATAAGAAGATATTTATACCCCTTTCAACTTATTTCCTGACATTGAACCTTCCACCTGTGGTATTTATTTAATGTCAATCTCTCCAACTAGAATATAAGGATTCTAATTTTAAAAATAATTTTCAGATATATGTTCTTTAAGGGAGACACACCTAAAATATGTTACAGAAAGCTTAAAAGTAAAGACACAGAAAAAGATACATCAGGCAAATACAAATCAAAATAAGCTGGCATCGATATACTAGTATGGGGAAAGTAAAATTTAAGGAAAACATAACCAAAGATAAAAATGATAAAGATGCTGTTAGAGATTTTTAAAAGTCATCAGAAAGATACAACTATCCCGGACCTGTGTGCATCTATCAAATTGACGGATAAAGTGATAACAGAATTATAAGAATTAACTTGAGACTTTTTAAGGCATTATACGTGCTTTAAAATTTCTCATTTTTACCCACTGTAAGAATAATTCCTAAATGAATAGGCAAATCCATAATCACTGGGAGATTTTTATCATGCATCTCCAGAAACCAATAAAGCAGACCAAAAAAAGGAAATCAACTCCTCTTACCAAAAAAAGTTAATGGTTAAGGAAGAGAGAGATGTGGAATTATAGCTTGATGTAGAATCAGAGTCTAGAAAAAATTGTTTCAGGGCATGGGTGACTTGAGCCCATTTGTAGCCAGGAGGAGGGACCCTTATGAAGGTGTGGGTCTCAATCTTGACTGCATAATAGAATCACCATGGGAACGCTTTTAAAAATAACCTCATGGGGCCTGCCGAGTGGCGTGATGGTTAAGAACTGGCTTGGAATGCCAGAGGGCCCCGGTTGGGATCCCACATATGAGGGCCAGTGACACTGCCCTCCACAGCTAAGATGCTGAACAACAGCTCAACCTGGAGCTGGGCTGCTGTGAGTAGCCGGCGACGGCGTAGGCTGCAGCCCCTGTGGCAGCGGGTTGCCATGGGCTACCATATGTAGCCAGCAGCCAGCGTGAGCGGCCAGCAGCCGCAGTGAGCAGCCATCCAGAAGCCGGCAACTGATGTGCCTCGCCAGAGAAGAGCACAATGATGGTGCCAACTTGGGCCAGTGAAGCAACGTCCTCCACAACTAGACTGAAGAACAAAACGACAGCAACTTGTCTGTTCCCCTTCCCCCAATTCCCCAGCACTGTTCCCATCCCCCCAATTCCCCAATAAAAATATTAAAAAAAAAACAAAAACAAAAAAACAACCTCATGCCCAGGCCACAACCTTATCCAATTAAATCAGATCTCTGGAAATAGGGCCTCAGTATTTTTTAAAGCTCCAACATGCACCCAAAGCTGGAAACCACTGCTCAAGGAAAAGATTAACAGGGCAAGAAAGGAGCAGGACTGGCTACATAATTTGCAGGGCCCAATGCAAAATGAACATGTAGGCCCCTTGTCCAAATATAATTAAGGACATAAAGACAACAACAGTAGAACATTAAACCAAATTCAGAGAGCCCTTCTAAGTCCAAAGTCCTGCGTAACTGCACACATCACATGCCCGTGAAACTGACCCTGGAAAGAGGAAAACTGAAGGCATAATGTCCAAGAGGCAAACAAATAAAGATACAGGGGGAACCTTTGGCCTCATCTATAAGAGGGAAGGAGGAAAACATAGGTTAAAGGATGGAGAAATCCTAAGGTGGAAAGAAGAGTTAATTCATATTAGATAAACTTGAAGTGACACGATCATTAGCTGAGGGAGTTAGAAGGTCTGGTTTCCCACAGTCACTATGAAGATGGTAAGAGAGTTACTTACCAGTGAATGAAGGAAAGTAATGTCACTATGTGTGGTGTCAGATGGGTGTTAGACTTAACGGGGCTATCACTTTATAAGGTATATAACGTCTAATCACTATGTTGTACATCTGAAACTAACATAACATTGTATGTCAACTGTAATTGAAAATTTTTTAAATACAGTAATACCTTGGTTTGCGAGCATAATTTGTTTCAGAAACAAGCTACTCATATTGCAAGACATCGCTCGTTTACCACGTTAAAATGTATTAGAAATGTTTGCTCGTCTTGCAGAACACTCACAAACCACATTACTCGCAATCCAAGGTTTTACTGTACTTTTTTTTTTTTTTGGCACCCTCTGTAGCTTGTACTCTGTAGAGGGCACATTCATTTTCAGTACTTTGTGATGGCTTGGGAAGTTTGGGGGAGAATGGATTTGGCTCCTCTCTACCCTCCATATCTCTTCCACATATAAACTATCTTCTGCTCTATACTTCTCTTATGAGTAGACTTCATCATTTTGAAAGATAATTTGCTAGATACCCATTTACACATGGGACAATACCAGGTGCCCCAAAACAACCGAACACTGGTGGTTTAGCAATAACCTTATAAATCATGTGCAAACCCTTTCATAATACAATATACCTCTGTTTATTACATTTTTTCTGTATACATCAAACTAAAATATATTACTAACCTTCTTTTTTAAATGTGCATAAAGGCAGCAAATATAAGGCCTGTTGACCTTGCCTCAGGCTATCCAACTGACATCCTCGCCATTGACCAAATACTCAAGAAAAAGCAGACTTGGACAGTGACTGATGCAGCTGTTATTAAACAGCATGTGAGTACTCACTGTGGAATCCCTTCCCAGAAAACATTGACAAAAATACTTTCCACTTCAATACTGCAACCATAAAACCGAATTTTTTTCCCTGCTCTATGTCTTTAAAATAAGATCATTTCTCATTTTTACCCATTGTAATGACGTTTCTTTCTCTATAATCCAATGAATTTTCAAATGTTAACTGTTATAGTTCATCCTGCCAATCACCTATAGAGCCATATCCAGCATCATTTCTGGGACATTCATTTGTTTCATGCTGGAAATAGCAACTAGTTAAGGTACTAAGCCGACAGTCACAGTGAGTGGTGCACTCATGGAATCATGATAAGTGAAAGCATCTTTATTATACCAGCTAAAAAAAATGATAAGAATAGTGTAAGTGAGCTTCCTAGGTGCTAGGCACTCTGCTCTACAAGCTCTCTACAGGTACCAATTCATTTACTTACCACAACAATCCTTGGAGGCAGGCACTGTCATCATTCCTTATAATCTTACAGATACACACAGAGAGGTTAGTGACTTGCAAAGGCACACAGCTAGGAAGTAATAGAGCCAGGATTACAAACATGGACAGCATAGCTCCAGAATCCACACTTTTAACTAAAACTCTATGCTGCCTGTCTACTTTGTGTCCTGACTTCTTAGCAACCTTTGTACTCCACAGAGACGACTGGGGTGTATTTATTATATGTCACCCCCCTTCTGCATTTGACACTGATGATCAAGCTCTCCTTGACACTTTCACTTCCTTGGCCTTTACTGCATCTTCAGTTCTCCTTGTAGCTGTGTCCTTTCCTCTCTCTTCTATTTCCTGAGTGTTCATCCCTTACGTCTTGATATCTCCTAGTTTTCTAGTCTCAATCCTACTGCTCTTCTCCTACACTCATGTACTCGTTTGTTCAGTAAATATGTATCCAGTGTTAACAAAGTTCTGGGATTAGAAGATACGGGGGAGAAAAAACACAGTTCCTACCCTCAGTGAGCTGAGAGTAAGAGTAGAAGACATAGGGAAGGAAATGAGTGGTAGTAATATGTTGGGATCAGTGGAGCTGTGGGCGTCAGCAGTGTATGCCACAAGAATGCAAAGGAGTGGGCTCCCATCCTGTCTCATCATGGCACATATTCACACTGGATTCAATGGAGGCTACTTACAGCCAGAGGCCTCCAGCCTGGAGCACCAGCTGCCCTGAGGGCTAAGAAGCCTGTGAAGCTCAATCGTTTGCATACCTGTAACCCAGTCACAGCAGAACCTCAGGGATCTCCGTGTTAAGTGAAAGAAAAGTGAGGACGAGTATTTGGACTATCGATTTACTTTCCTCCTTTCAGCTGCCACCTGTATAGTGATAACTCATAAATCTGTCACTAGCCTAGCCTTCTTTCCAGTACTTCTGTCTTATCTAACTGCCTGATGAACCTTTTTACCTTGCCGTCTCATAGCACATCAAACTTGACATGTCCAAACCAAACTCATCAAGTTGGCTCTTCCTTAAAGAGTCTATGTATCAGTTATTGATACCACCACCTTCCCAGTCAATCCTTGGCATTCCTATCCTATCCAGGGCCTATCTCCATGCCACATTTCCTCCTTGTTTTAGTCTATTGTATTTTTAATATTCTTATCAAATTGCTTATTATCTCATTATTATTATCTCATTATGAAAAGTAATACATATTCACTGTCTATCAACTCCTAACTCAAGATGTCCTCAAGAGGCACTACCCAATGTGTAAACTCGGTTACGTTCAAGTAGCCTGGGAATATAAATAACTCTGGGAATATCTAGAATTATGGTCCACAAATCAGAGATGTTTTAAGGTAACTAGTGTAAATTTATGCTCTCTACTGCAGGTGAAGAGAGCTACAGATACCTGTAACTTAGGAATTGCCCTAGAGCACCGGAAAGAAATGCTCAACCTCTGGCGGAAGATCCGAGGGGATTTGATCGGAATAGACACTAAAAATGAGTCTTTTTATGACACCTTTTCTACTTATACATGGTCTTGGAATGTTTGCCAAGAATTACTTTCTCCGAAGGACTTAAGGTTACATGATGCCTATGTGAATAGAAATTCCTTTCACAACTCTGCATTCTCTTCCTATTCAGATGTCAATGAATGTGACACAGAGACAGGAAGAAAAAGAAAACGGAAAGGTCTCAAAGGGTTTCGACAATGAAATTTCTACATTTTCTAAGCAGCTCATTGCAAACTACTTTTTCACAGATATGAAAATTATGGTTTCTTGCTTTTTGTCTAGTACATTCTTAGCAGCTGGAAACGTTGACATCTTTTGAATTCTGACCAGTAAAAACGTTTAAGTCATAATATGGTTTCCCTTTCCTGATTCTTTCTAGTAAATCAATGCTCTTCTGTTATTTCTGTAGCAATTGGCTGCACTATGCTGCCCCCACCTGGCTCAAAACTGCCCAGGCAGAAGGAGAAACACTGAAAGCAGGCACTTAGCACCACGCAGGGCTGCCCTTGAGCCCTCCTGAGGGCCCTCCCAGCAATAAGCATCTGAGTTTATATGACTGTAAGTGGCATAAGGATTTTTATTATTTGTGAAAGTGGCCAGAGGCAGCAGATGACAATGACCTTTCAGTTTCAGGGAATAATAATACCATCCCCCAGGGAATCTTGATTAAATTTGGGTGTTCCTAAGGCTCCTTCAGACCAATCTTCACATCACATCTTCAGACCAATCTCTTGGAATGCTCTTAAAAATAGCTGATTTCATCCATTACACTTGTTGTTCTTTAATGCATTTAATTAAAAAGCCCTTGTATAACTATATTACAAGTTGGGGGGGTGTAATTGTTTTATTGTGGAAAATATACATAAAACTTAATATTTTAATCATGTTTAAGTACATATCATCCATTACATTATTTTTTTCCTTTTAGAAAAAGAAAAAGACATGTTCCAAATTGATGGGGACAGTAGCTTATAAAATTATAACATTCCAGGAAAAAGCAATGGAGATAATGAAGGCTCCCAAAACTGTTTAATGAAAAGCCTTGAAGTATTTTTGTGTTACCTTGAATATTCAAAACTGTCTAAATATATTTGCCATTGTTCATAATATTATGACATTGGGAAAAAGAAATAACTATAAATAAGTGACTGTGTTTTCTAACCCAAAAATAAGATTTATGGTTTGACAAGAGATTTTTTTTTTGGTGTGACTGCAAGTGTAACAAGTAATCTAAGAGATAAAATTTGAATGCCAAATATTAGAATTCCTGGAATATTACTTGGATCAATAGGATAATAAAACAGAATATTTTGAAGTAGATCTGTCCTGGAAAAAGTAATACAGTTTTTCTATTAAATTGTCACACACTGTTGGTGATAGTACAAATTGGCATCTCTTTGATGGAATACAGTATAGCAACAGATACTCAAACATTCATTCACCAATTATTTATTGAGTTGCATACTGTGTGCTAGACTGTGTTCTAGCATCTGGATATACAAGGTCTGACAATTAAGTTTGCAAACTTATTGCAACGATGTTGCTAACCTTTTCTGATATCAGAGGGATTATTCATTATAAATTTGTACCAACTGGACAAACAATAACCAAGTTTACTATTTGGAAGTGCTGAAAAGAATGCATGAAAAAGTTAGATGACCTGAGCTTTTTGCCAACAATTCATAGCTCTTGCACCAGCTCACACGGCACTATGAGGGAGTTTTCAGCCGGTAAACCAATAACTGTATTGGAACACTCTCCCCACTCCCCACTCACCTGATCTGGCTCCCAATGACTTCTTTCTTTAACCGAAGATAAAGGAAATATTGAAAGGAAGACATTTTGATGACATTCAGGACATCAAAGGTAATACGACAACAGCTCTAATGGCCATTCCAGAAAAGGAGTTCCAAAATTGCTTTGAAGGATGGGCTAGAAGCTGGCGTTGGTGCATAGCTTGCCAAGGGGAGTACTTCAAAGGTGACCATAGTGATATGCAGCAATGAGGTATGTTGCACTTTTTCTAGGATGAGTTCGTGAAGTTAATTGTCCAACCTCGTACAACAGTGAACAAACAGATAAAGTGCCCTGACCTCACGGAGTTTAGTAATGGAGCTAATTATAACCACTGACTCAGCACTTCCACTTCTAGAAATTATTACTAAAGAAATCATGAATATACAAAATGATTTAGCTATAAAGATGTTTATCATGTTGAATTTTTAAGTAAGAAACTTAACCCTAAATGCCCAATAAATCAAGATACAGCTATATAACACATACTCATTAAAGTGATATAAAAGAATATTTCAAACAAAAGAATGATGTTCACAAGCTATTAAGTTTATAAGCAGGCTACAAATGCTAAGAGGCATGAGAGAACTTTATGGGTATGTTCTAAAACTTAATTATGATTGTGGTTGCACAAATAGATTTTTATGAAAATGCATCCAACTATATACTTAAAATGGATGGATTTAATTGTATGTAAATTATAGCTCAATGAAGCTGTAAAAAGGGGGACACAAAACAGCTTGTTCTGAAAATATTTTAACTTAAAGGTTATTTAAATAAATAAATTAGAAAAAAAGACTGGAAGGATATAAACCAAAGTGTTTAATGGCTTAAATTAAGGGTGGGATGGGGTATTTTCTTTTTGTCTTACCTATATCTTCTAAATGTTCTACAATAAACACATCTTTATGTTACAATCTGAAAAAAAAACACAGAAAAGCTGTTTTAAAATTAAAGCTGTTAAACCAGCTTATTCAATTATCTAGGGCTGCTACAAATGCTGTCCAGCTTCTGTGAAACGTTAAGGAGAGCAAATTGAGACACCAGGGTGCCCTCCCCGGCATTCAGTTCCAGAGCCCATGCTTACACAGACTATAATTTCCACTGATTGGAACTGAAAAGAAAGTAATTAACTACCCCTATCCGGGGTTGACACCCAAAGTAGTAATCCAGACTCAGAGTTCTTAACCTTTACATCCTTTGAACCCATGCCACCCACTGAGCTAGGAGAGTTCTCACTACTGACCAGCAGAGGGACCCTTAGCTCCTCTGAAACGCAGTGCCAGCTAAAGTTGGTGTCAAGTTTGATACCTCATAGGGCTCAACTACCGTGTCTTCCAAATTTCTTCTGAAAAATTATTCTATGTGCTTTAAAAGATGAAGAAAAATGAGTTGTACAGGTCAACCAACGGTAATTATATCAAAGTTAAGTGTAGAATACTTTATCACATTTCATAAATAAGGCCCAAGTTGTTTGACTTTTTAAGTGACTCCGTTGGAACTAGTATAAGTAACTTCAAGTGAGGACACAGTGAGCTCTCTACAAGAAAATACACAGTGCGACTGTTGATTGGGAACACTTACAGCTTTTGGCGTGGGGAGAAAAAAAGCCTGTAGATGAGAGAAGATGTCAAGAATATAAATTAACCATCATATCTGTAAACAGCTGGTGGCCTTGAGAAAAGATAGAAATCCTTGTACTTATTTGGAAAGGAGGTTTTATTCAAAATGTTTCAAAAGACCATGACAATGGCGAAAGTATTCTGTCTTCAAATAAAGTACAAGTTCTTTACTATCTTATCTTTTTGACTCACTCGTGTATTTTTCTTTGTGATTAAAGACGGTTTGGGAATTGTTCCAATTTCTTTGGTGGTAAAGGCATAGAATCTCTTATCGCTCCCCTTAGTTTTGCTTATGGAAAGAATCTGCAATGTGTGCTAAGTCTAGTACTGCACTACTCGAATAATTAATTAACCCTTTTCTTCTCTTTTTCCAAATGGTATTCATCACTCTTCTCCTGGAAGTCTTCTTAACTAACCTTATCTTATGTTGACAGCATACTTTCTTCTAGATTCTTGTGAGTCAGTTTGTAGTAATTATTGAAATAAAAATGGAAGCTGAAATGTATTAGTATAACAAACTATATGTGTGCATTACAATCTTGAGTCTGAGAATACGCTCAGGTATGGGTAATTCAAAAAGGTAGGTGGATACACATTTTTTATAGGCTTGTCCTTTGTTATTCCATGTAATCTGACAGGGTAAACTTTATGTTCTCGGAATTTATTTCATATCTTCCCCCCAGAAAAAGTGTTAAGATTATATATAATATATATTTTATATATTATACATATTTTATATATTATATATAGTATATATATATTTATGTACATTTATATATATTATATATAATATATTTTTATATATATGTAATATTTATATATATGTAATATATATATATATATCTCATAGCTTTTCACACCATAACAGCTGGAAAAGTGCCCTATTTCCTCATCATGCATGCTACCTTCCTAATTTCTTCTGATCATCAGCTGTACAATGGAACCAGGTACCTTTAATTCTTAATATGATTCAAGATTTTTCCTGTCTTACAACTTGAGGGAAACAGGGGAACCTGTTAGAGGAACCCAGGATTGAAAGAAGGCTCAAGTGGAACATCTCCCACTTTCTTGCCGGCATGCACGTCCTCAAGGAAAAACGACTCCAGGACGAAGTTCTGCAGGCGTTTCCCTTCCCCAGAGAGCTCCTCCCCAGCTCAGAGCCGGCCCCACCCGGTGGAGCTTGAGACCCACCAGGACACTGGCAGCCTAAGGCGCCGGGCCCCGCCCCGCCTCCCCTCTGTCTTTTCCCGCCCAGACCCTGCGCCTTCCGGAAGGGGGCGTGGCCCAGCAGGAAGTTCTCGCATTACGGAAAGGCAGGCATTTCCGGCTCCGGTGTCATGGCGGGCACCTACGGTGAAGGCGCGCCCAGAGAGCCCAGTGGAAAGAGGCAGCAGTTCGGAAGCCGGTTCCTGAGCGATCCGGCGCGTGTTTTCCGCCACAATGCTTGGTAAACACCCTTTCCCTCGCCCAGCCTGCGGCTCGCCCTCTGTCCCGTTGCTGTACTCCAGGCGCTCCGCTCCGTCGGGAGAGGTGCTTAGATGCCAGCAACTCACCCTGCCCACAGCTGGAACGCGAGGCCCCTAAGCATCCCGTTTGGTTTTTCCAGGGACAATGTGGAGTGGTCGGAAGAGCAGGCTGCGGCAGCGGAGAAGAAAGTCAGGGAGAACAGCACCCAGCGGGTGTGCCAGGAGAAGCAAGGTGCGCGCAGGAGGTGGCGGGGGGGGGCCTCAGTGGTATCCACAGTCAGCCTAACTGCTGGACGCGCTGTCCGGGAGGCCAAAACACCGAGGCCACCACGAGCCTTTTTTACTGGATTGATACCAAATTCGGGGGGTAGAACGAGAGGGGGAGGGGATGTGCAAGGATGGAAAAGGGCCACGTCGTAAAATCTTGTTAGGGCATAAAGGGTGTTTTGGTTTTGGTTGACGACATGTTCTGGTTTTTAGTTAACTGGATCCATATCAATATAGCTGGCCTATGGCAACCGCCATACATTGTCTTAGAAGATATAC